AAGAGTAAATGGTTTTGAAGTACCTATTCTAAGAGATACGGGAGCAACGGTAGATATTATTTGTCAGAAATATGTAGACAGAGATAGAATGAAGGGGGAACATGTGTGGGTTCGACATTTGTTGGATGATCATATGACTTGTTTACCTGTTGCTGAAGTAGATATTGAATGCGATTTGGGTACAGTAACCACCAAAGCAGCTGTTATAGGAGACCACTTAGACCAAGGACGATATATATTAGGCAACCAGACAGCGGCTCTTCTCAGAGGAACTGAGAAAAATTATTCGTCGTATGTCGGTAATGTTAATGCGGTCGTTACTCGATCTCAAGCACGGCAATTTAAGGAAGCGGAAAATTTAAGTGAGACGAATCAAAATTCTGAGCAGAATGAGTTAGAATTGGAAGAGGAGGACGATGCTCATGAGAGGTCTGAAAACAGAGAGATATTGCCTCCTGTCGACCTTTGTGTCCCCACAAGTCCTGCGATTCAAATAGACTCAAGTACTTTTATTGATGAACAACAAAAAAGTAAAGAACTTGCGCCTTTATTAGAACTAGTAAAAAGCGGAAGTAAAACAAGTTATGGGATTAAAAATGGGGTTTTAGTAAAAAAGAAGGTAAATAAGTTAGGAGGAGAAGAACATTTAATTGTTGTTCCAGAAAACCTCAGAGAGCAAATTAAAGCAATTTGTCATGAAGGAACTTCAGGTCACTTAGGAGTTCTGAAAACAAAAGACCGGTTACTAAGACATTTTTTCTGGCCAAATTGTTATAAAGACATTGAGGAATTCGTTAAAACATGCGACTCCTGTCAACGTGTAGGAAAAGCAAGTGACAAAAAGAAAGCACCGTTGGTAATAGTACCTGTGATATCGGAAGTCTTTAGTAAGGTTAATGTAGATGCTTGCGGGCCTATGCCTACATCTACTGAAGGTAATAAATATCTTATTACAGTTATGTGCTTAGCATCTAAATATCCTGACGCCGTCCCGGTACCGGATATAACGTCGAAATCTGTTGTAAGTGCACTCTTGCAGGTATTTAGTCGGATGGGTTTTCCAAGGGAGGTTCAAACTGATCAAGGAAAATCTTTCATGAGTCGCTTAACCGTTGAATTTTTGAAGAGGTTTGGTATAAAAATTTCCAGAAGTTCGGTTTACCACCCCCAGAGCAATCCTGTAGAACGGTTCCATAGGTCAATAAAAAGGGTCTTAAAGGTATTATGTATTGAAGCTGCCCCAAATTGGGAAGTACAATTACCTGCCGCTCTCTTTGCCCTGCGGAACAGTAACGCATGATAGTACAGGATTTAGTCCAGCTGAATTAGTGTACGGGACCAACCTCAGAACACCTGTCGCATTATTGTATGAGAAATGGTTAGATCCTCAGGAAAAAGAAGATACCGTAATAGAATATGTTTTCGAATTAATCAATAGGTTAAAGAAAAGTAGAGAATTAGCTACAGAGAAAATGGAAGAGGTGAGAGACAAAAGGAAGAAATGGTATGACAAAAATGCCGTGAAAAGGGAATTCCAGCAAGGAGATTCTGTATTAGTATTAGCAGTGAACCAACCCCATAAACTCGCTCCTCAATGGAAAGGGCCGGGGAAAAATAGAGAAAAGATTATCAGAAACAAACTATGTGGTTAGTTTTGAAGGGAATCAGGAAGGGAATAAAGTGTATCACATCAATATGTTAAAACCTTATCATAAGAGACCTGAACTTTTGAATATGGTGCTCCTTGACAACGAGGAGATAGTTGAACCCTCGGAATTAGAGGAGGATTTTCCTTATATGTTAACCGACCCCAATGTGTTTGATTTTAATGAAATAATAGCAAAAGATAATCTTAAAGAAAGACTTAGTGATGAACAAATCCTGCAGTTGGGAAAGTTGTTGGTAAAGTTTTCTGCTATATTTTCGAATATTCCAGGGAAAACAAATTTAGTCGAACATGATATCGAACTAATCAGTGACAAACGCGTACAGCATAAGCCTTATAGAATGACAAATCGACAGAACGAAATTCTTAAAGTCGAGATTGAAAAAATGTTAAAATACAAGATTATTGAACCAGGACCCTCTGAGTATACTTCACTTCACCCATGATCCTTGTTGAAGCACCAGGTAGGGATCCTAGGCCGTGTATTGATTACAGAAAGTTAAACGAAATAACGCGTACTGAGTTCTACCCAATCCCCAATATAGAGCAACGTGTTGAAACTGTTGCAGCAGCCAAATTTATCACCTTGATAGACTTAACTAAAGGTTATTGGCAAATTCCGCTGACCCCTAGGGCTCAGAAAATTGCTGCATTTGCTACAAATTTTGGCGTATATAGGCCTTTGCGCATGCCATTTGGGCTTAAAAATGCTCCTTATTATTTCAGTAAAATGATGAGCGAAATATTGTGCGGATGTGAGAAATATGCGACCCCTTATTTAGATGATATTGCTATTTTTTCTGAAACGTGGGAGGAACATTTACAACATTTACATGAAATTTTAGAAAGAATAAGAAAAGCCAATTTAACTATTAAACCCTCTAAGTGCAAGTTTGCACAAGAAGAAGTGCAATATCTCGGTCACATAGTAGGTCGAGGAAAACGTTCTCCAGCAGAACTAAAAATCGAAGCGGTTCAAAATTTTCCTGTTCCCACAACTAAAACTGAGATTAGAGCTTTCTTAGGGTTAGCTGGATACTACAGACAATATATACCCATGTTTTCTTTTTCTGCTATAGCCGCACCTTTGACAGATTTGTTAAAAGGGAATAACAAAAAGGGTAAAATTGTTTGGAATGATGAATGTAATGAATCATTCAAATCCTTAAAAGAAAAGCTATCTAGTAGGCCTGTGCTACATGCACCCGATTTTTCTAAACCATTTATACTACAGACAGACGCATCAGATCAAGGATATGGTGACACTATATCCTTGATTGTTTTAGCCCAGAAGGATGATAAAGGAAAAGAACATCCCATATTGTATCTCAGAAAAAAATTTACTGATAGTGAGCGCGGAAGTATTCCACCACTGAAAAAGAGTGTGCCTGCAATTCTGTATGGAATAAAAAAATTGAAAGGGTATATAGATGGGCAGACTAAATTTTCAATTCAAACGGACCATAATCCCCTAGTATGGCTAAAAAATAATGCAGGTAGAAATGGTCGATTATTACGCTGGGCCTTAGCCTTTGCAATCTTATAATTTTACGATACATCATAAAAAGGGAAGTGACAACTTAAATGTAGACTGCTTAAGTAGAAACTCTGTACATGCCAGTTAAATAGACTAGTTATCATTTCTTTTAAATTGTCTTGTTATTTGATTATGTATATTATTGTTTTTTTTTAAATTCATACTATATAGTAAATTGTTAACTTTATTCATAAAGACAAAAAGTTTCTGTGTTGGTTTTTCATATATTGTATATGTATTTTTATATATTGTATATGTATTTTTATATGTGTTCGTTTTTGATGGCCTGGTTATGAGAGTGGAGAGCCTTTGTAACAGTGTGGTTTAAAATTAACTGGTAAAATGTTGAACAATCTATTGAAACCAGAAACTGTGAACTGTGAAGGTTTACTTCTCCTGTGTCCGGAGAAACAAAAACTGGAGGCGGAAGGTGTTTGTTTGTAGCGAACGCCTGCCTGAACTTGTATTTTATCCTAGGCTTAAAAAAAAAGTTTTGTTTCCTCTGTGTCCGAGGAAAACAAAATCTGGAGGCGGAAGGAGTTAGTCTGTAAAGAACGCTCCTGAACTCTACTCTACTAGAAAGACCTATGATGCTCTTGACTAGAGAGAACGTCGTTAGCAAACTCCTCACACTACGAGTACTATAATTCATTTTAACACCTTATTTAAAGAACTGTGAATGGCAACGACTTAACTGAGAATTACGCATGCGTAAAGAGATGAGACTTCTGTTGAGACGCCTGTCAGAGAGAGTTTGGGAAGCTCCGCCAGCGAGCTGAGGTGTGGAGACTAAATTTGTCCAGTGATGACGAGTGCTATCTTCGTTAACGTCTCTGATCGTGTCACCAACTCGGATATGTACTCAAGTTTTTCTAAATGTATTAATTAAATGTTGTATCTGTGTTACGTTGTGTAAATAAAAGTGATGGATCACCACTACCAGTGTTGATACTGAAACATCCACGACGTCACAATACAAAGCTTCTAAGCCATTGATGGTAACAAACATTTCAAAAGATATTTTACCATTTTAAAGGTATAAGTGGCATACACGCTCATGTATAACAATACTTTAACACAGTTCTGAGTGTTATGCTGAAACAATCCCAGAAGACACAATGTTAAGATATTATATTGAATAAAATATCTTCACACAATTCTGCTCTAAAAGTTATACTAAATCCCAAAAAACAATGAACAACAAAAGCTCATTTGCTTTAGATGTGACATTCATACCAGTTTTGTTCACCTCTCCAGAATCATGATTGTACATGCATTTTTTGTCATAAACTTCTTAAAACAGCTCGACACACCAAAATTTCAGCTTGTCAATTAATTTAATTTTTTTTTTGGGGGGGGGGTGATTGAAAAGAGTGAAATTGAAAGAAAGTATTACATGTTATAGCATAATATTATAGCTGTGTACGGCATCCAAAGACATTACTTTTTGTTAAAAAAATACCATTAAATGAAAAATCTATCACTAACTTGAGGACAACTTTACACTGATTTTGTATTTTTCAATCCTGACCAATAAAAACCATACATTAACATATTGCTAAATCCCTGCTAAATTATAACATTGAATCAGTTTTTTAATAAAATACTTTACAGAATATAGGAAAATGATTAAAGTTATATATCATATAACCAAACCCATCATATTTCAAAACATTTTCTTTCTGTTGTCACTTATAACTAGTGCAGTTTCTGTTCACACAAAATATCTACACATCATTTTTTATTATACAGTTTTAAATATTAATTATATTCACAAATACACAGATATAAACTCACAGCTGATGTTAAATTTTCAGTTTTATCCACAAGCAATTCCAATTTTTCTCCTCTATTTGCAACCGAGTCTGAAAATAATTATAGATCTTATAAATAAATATATTAGCTATTAAAATTTATTATCCAGTATTACATGTATAATAATTACAATACAGCTACCAAATAATAAAATCTCAAAATACACATCAACCTTCTCTCATATATTATGCAAAATATTTTTTTCATAAATTATAATACAGCACTTCTAATCAAATTACAATTTTCCTTATTTGGAAGGATTTAAAACATACAAGTTCAAAAAAAAAAACTTTAAATAACATTTTGTCAGGTTTATAATTAATGAATTCACAGGCAGCAATTAAAATCAAAATATGTACTGTAAATATAACATGAATAGAATGGTGTAAACTTCAGCTAAATAATGAGCTTGAACACAATATAGTAAAACACTCGATTTAAAAGTAAAGAGATAAAGCACTTACCAATGTTTTGAACCATAATTTCTTTCAGTTCATCTATTTCTCCTTGCACTTTTGTAAGCTTATCTACATCACGACTTTCTGAGAAATATTTCTGCAAAATTAAATGAAAAAGTGTTATTTCAATACTTAAAACAATCAGTAAAATACATAAAATGAATAAATGAACACAGTATGATTCATCTGTATACCATCTGAGATGCTAACACTCTTGAGAATTCACTATTCATAGCATAGGGCAATGCTGTCAAAGCTCTTGAACCATATGAAATTTGGAATCTATACAGAAAGCAAGAATTTAGTATGAATGAATATGCAAAGCTTATTTGTTACACGTTAGTAACATATAAAAATACATATTTTACACAAAAATTAAATATATTTCAATTCATTTAAAAATTAAGAACAGGAAAAATATTTTAAACATATAATTAAACAATAAAAAATATGGTAAAAGTATATTTACAGGTACCCCTTGGCGATTTTTGGATACCGAGTTTGTGCAATTCTCCGACTTGTTATTTTGGCTTGTGTAGTGGCAATGTTTGTTGCAAAAATCACCGCTATACAAAACCAAAATAATAAGATTTGCACAAACTCAGTATCCATGTTCACATCAACCTATTTTCACTTTAAAAAAATATCCCAGAATTGCACAAAAATTGCATTGTGCACTCCCTTGACTTTATCCATGTACACATTGACCTATTTTCACTTAAAAAACATCAGAGATTCGCACAAACTAGGCTTTGCGCACTCCCTTGACTTTATCCATGTACACATCAAACTATATTCACTTAAAAGTCAAAGGAGCAGCAAATAAAAAAATATATAATCTCAATAAACTACATTTTAAATCAAACAAATAACAAAAAATGGAAATTAATCTTTGCAGTACACAAAAGAAATATCCACTTATGAATTAACACGTGTTCAATCAAACAAAATTTCTTAACAGCATCGAAAAACTTTCTAAAATTATCTGAACTAGAATCTGTATACTGGCATCGCCACATAAATTTTAAAATAAGAGTCAGAAATATCCTCCGTAACGATGTTTGACCATATGCATTTCCTACGTTCAACCATACACATTTCCTTCTTACAAACAGGACACCTATTAATGGCTACTAAGTAAACCTTCATTTACACACCAGTCAAGTAATGCTCTTTTTCCCTTTCTTCCCAAATCATACAGAAACTTCAAATCAATCTTACCACATTCGGCCATTTTACCCATCTAAGCCACAAAACAAGCAATACACTTTTTATCCAACACACACCACAAGCCCTTACGAATTTACTGCAATCATGCAACCGATTACTTCGTAATAGGGTTTCCATAACATTCAACTACTCGGGCTACCATAAATGAAGCAACAAATGAAACAATAACTTTGCGATAATGCAAGGGGTACCCTTCTCTCTACTCTAAACAAAAATATTAATGTAAAATCAGTCATAGTACCAATGAAACTACTCACTTTTTCTTAATTTCGTTTAAAAAAATAAATGCACGGGATCGATCAAAATCCTAAAAAATTTAAGAACCAATCAGGCTATAAATAAAAAATGCAGTTTTATTAATAAACAAAATAAAAATTCAAACAAATCTCGCATTTTATCATAATTATATACACATGCAGATATATTTAAACACATGCAGATTTAATTTAAGATACACTGATCTCATTTTTTATTAGGAAATTCTCCCTTTTAAGTTTGACCTATTTTTATCATACACTGTTAAGAAAATAATGTGTCCATTTAAGAAAGTTCCAACTTATTTAAAAATATTTTTTTATGTATATTTCAAAATTATCTCTTCCAATCGCACTGATGTGACCTCAAAATTTGTTTTAGGAACTTTTTCATAAAAGTTCTTTTTGTGAAAACCTTTCAGGACTTAGAATTTTCTTTTATTGTATTATTCAAAATAGTGACTATGAAGGGGCAATTTTAACTATTGAAATAAAAAAAGGGGTATATACTACCCTATCAGGAAAATATGGAGCTTGCAAATATTTTTTTAATGATTAAAGATTTTTTTTTTTTTGACAGTTTTTCAAAATTAGAAAACTTAATTTAGAAAATACAATATAATTTGTTTTCACAGTGGCTTTTCTGTTATCAAAAGCCTCTGAGGATAAGATAAAATAAGCAATGGTATAAGATGTTTAAAGAAAGCAGAGAATGCTTTACACATTACATTTTGGGTTAAAATTCATAAACAAGACTACTGTAAATAGATGCGTTATCATGCTGCAAAATTCATCAGTTATATATCTCACAATTCGGACCGTTTTCTTCATGCAAATGCCACAAAATACTCAAATAATTTTCTTTGTAATAGCTAGGTCAGTTGGTAAAAATTCATGATGGATAACACCATGACAATTGAATAAAACAGTCAATATTTATATGATTTTAGTCACTTCTGACATGGTCTTGGCTTGTTTTAGCGCTCAAGGGCCATTTATTTGACTGTTGAGCTTTTTCTGTATTAGTGTAGATTCATATGTCATCACTAGTAATGTATTAGAATTATTTACACTCTCAAGAATGCATTTCATGGGCTAACAGAACATGTTTTTGGAATAACTCAAGAAGCTATAAACTATAATTCCAGGAACTTGATAAATAAGATCCTTAATTGTGATATTATGGCTGCTTAAGCACCAAATCTCTGACATGACTGGCATATTGCTCATAAATGGATAATCTGCCATAGCTTAATTCCTCTTTGATGCATTCTCTGCTTCCTTTAAACATCTTATACCATTGCTTATTTTATCTTGTTATCCTCAGAAGCTTTTTATAACAGAAAAGCCACTGTGAAAACAAATTATATTTTCTAAATTATGTTTTCTAATTTTGGAAAACTGTCAAAAATTCTTTAATCATTAAAAAATTATTTGAAAAAGAAAAAATAATTACAAATTGTAACAAACTATAATAATTATTAATATGCCCTGAAAAAGCCATTAACGGCTTCTGAAAAAACTTTGAAATTATTTCTTGTACGTGTTTTTTAAACAAATCATGCCCAATACTTTTTTTTAATCACAGTATTAGCCATCTGCTCCATTTTAAATGAAAATTTAATACTTGACAGGGTTTATACATTTTTCTTTGAATAGGAATTGAGTACTTTTTAAAGACCACCAATGAAAACATTAAGGGTCTATCAGCAAACACAACTGAACAAATTAATCAATTACTATACAACCACCTTTATTCTTGTAATAATATACTAAGAATAAAACAGAAGTACAGATGGAGAACAAAATAATGCGAACACCTGTGAAAAAGTATGACGTATCTCACACCTACAATACAGCCACACCACCTGCAACAGAAATCTGCCACCTAGTGAGCATGAAGAGGAAGGTATCAGTCTCTCAACAGCAGTCACCTGCATTGCATGCTTTGATAGAACTGTCTGTGACAAGTTGAAATGTCAGACCTGTCAGTTCCAAAGAGGAATGATAGTTGGAACCTGTTCAAGAGGAGCATTGGTTAAGGAAACAGCAAACCTTGTGGGATGTGCAAGGAGTAGGGTATCAGCCGTTATGACAGCGTACATAAAAGAGGGTAAGACGACGTCTTCAAAGCACAACAGTGGCCGAAAGTCAAAGCTGGCTGATAGGGATAGACGGGACTTGAAGCGAATAGTAGCCCAAAAGCACAAGCAATCACTATCCGAGATAACATCCAAAATGAACAGTCATCTCCAGGACCTCGTTCCAACAAAAACTGTCAAAACAGAACTTCATGCTGAGAACATTTATGGCTGAGTGGTACCCTTGGTGACAGCAACTAATGTAAACCCTTGGTGACAGCAACTAATGCTTTCAAGCGATGCCAATGGTGCAGAGATCACAAAAGTTGGTCCCCACAGCAGAGGCAACAGGTAATATGGTCAGATGAATCGTCATTCACCCTATTTCAAACGACCAGATGCGTTTATGTCTGGATAACGCCCAAAGAAGTGTTTCATCCTGACTGTCTTTTGCCAACTGTGAAGCCGGGGTGGCGCCATTATGGGGTGCGATATCTTGGCGTGGTCTTGGACCACTTATTATTCTGCATGGGAGGATGCCATCCAATCACTATCTAAGCATTCTAGGGGATCATGTCCATCCTTTTGTCCAGACTGTATTCCCTGGGGAGCGACCGTTTTTTCGAGAGAATGCCCCTATCCACACTTCTAGGTGTATTTAAGAATGGTTCGAAGAGCATGACGATGCAATTGAACATCTCGCTTGGCTCCCTCGGTCTCTGGACTTGAATATTATTGAACATTTATGGGCATATTTGGAGTCCTAACTTCGTTCCCGATTTCCAGCTCCATCCGAACTTTCGGAATTAGAGACCGCTCTGCAGGATGAATGGCTTAATATCCCTTTAATTATTGTCCATGACCTTTGTGCATCTATCCCACATCACATTCAATCTGAACTTCAGTCAGAGGGTGGTCCATCTCCCTATTAATAAAGATTTTCCATTATTTTGTCCTCCATCTGTATGTAGGATGCATTAGTATTAAACACAATCTAATATTTAATCTAAAACAAGTTTGAGAATAAGTTTTTAAGCAGTAACCATTAAATTATGAATATAATTTCTTGAAACATACATAACAGTTACACACATTTTAAAGAAAATTTACTTAGTCATTCCTAAAAAATTTTCTTTTTTCTTTTTTTTTTTTTTTATATATTCGTTTAAACAAAAGCACTATTAAAATCATAGTCTACAGATGTTTGTAACAATATGACACATAATTTGTAGTCATTTCCTTTTTTTAACAACTTCCCATTTGGTTTATCATGACTTAATGGTAACTATACATGTATTTTTTTGTATACAACTTACTGTTTACAGCTACACTGTACTTACTGTTTACCGTTACAGTACTGTATACATGTATTTTTTGTATACAGCTTACTGTTTGTTACAGCTACAGTCTTAGTTTTACTGTTTGCTATGTGGTCTAGTGCAAATGATCCTCTAGTACAAATGATCCCACCAACCTCTTGGATCAATTTCACACATATCCATTAAATAGTTTTTATTTTATTCCGTATTTTGCCTATTTTACTTATTTTGTTAGCAGGAGTGTATTTACTTTACACAGATGAGAACCTCTGAAATACTCCTGCAGCTGGTCCTTTTGATGGGATATGAAACCCAAAGTAAATTTACGAATGTGCAGCAATCTTGGCTTACCGAAACTGGAAATACATCTATTAAATTCTTTAAAAGATGCCATTGAATTGTTAAAAAAAAAATCTAGAATACATCTGAAGTGTAGATTCTAAGTTCACCTGCTTTAATATATAAATCAAAGTTTATACTAATCCGTATATCCCTTGCTAAAGAATCTGCTAATTCATTAAAATTTTTAACAACATCCCTTTGAAGAATTTTCTTTTAGTTTATATAGTCAAGTTCTTCTTCAATAATGCTTTATCTCTGAATTTTCAGATTTAGTTTAAAAAATTTTCGTTCTACAACACTGCATGTATTTAAATAAAGAAGTTAATATAATTTTTTTTTTTTTTTAATAATTTCAACGCAGAAAATAATTCAGAAGGAAAAGGAATGAAATTATGTACCATATTTTCTTCCTTTTCTTACTAATTTTATTGTCTGAAAATTGCGAGGGGAAAATTATGTGACTAGTTTCTGAAGGCCATGGTTATCATAAGAGCATAACAAATGAAAAGCAGTCATGGATACACTAAAGGTAACTATTACAATATTATTTCTTTAAAAGAAATCTACATTCCATTAAAAATATACAGTAATATTAACATTAGAATATCTAATATGATATTTTCATTTTTACTTTCCTGTAACTTGAAACTCGCCTGTTCTTTAATTGTTCTCCTTTCCTTAGATCATTCATAACTAATTACAGAAGCGTGAAAGTGACTCTGAAATCGTAGCATGAATGTCAGTTCATCTTTGCTTCACAGCAATGGGTTCGTTCTCATATTAGGATGGCATAAAATTAGAAAACTCTAAAAAGGGAAACATCCGGCATAACTTCACAGGTATTTTGTGAGGGTTTGTCTTTGTTAATAAGACAAAAATGATCACTATGAGAATGAATCCATTTTAAAATTTATGGAAGCTTACTCTATTCAGCACAAAGGAAGGAAAAAATGACATGGATATTTTTTTTAATTTTGAGAACTCAGAGCTGAAAAGTTTGGAGGGGGGAAAACATGCAAGAAAATACACTAATATATATTCAGATGTATACATCAAATCTTTAAAATTATCAGGTTTCAAAATCTTCATTAACAAAGTCCTTTTGTCCATGAGAAAAAAGTAGCAAATCTATTTGAAAATCTTATCAAACTGTCATCAAATGGCCAGCAGTCTTAACCACAGTCACCCTGCCTGTCATACAAAGAACTCTAAGCAGTGTTGATGCTTTGAAACAAAGCCTTCACTGTTTTTCGAAATCTCTCCAAACAATATATA